CGAAACATCAGAGATGGGATCAGGTGTCATGGAGGAGTGAGCCTCCCCTGTCGACCGGTCACACCCGCTGTGTGCTCTTTGTCATGATCAGGAAATAACGGAAAAATCCGTCGTCAGTCCTGTGTAAATAATGGACTAACAATTGGTATGAAAATAATATGAAATGAATATAGCTTTTATAATGATTTTGATAATTAAATAAAATTTTCATCATACCTTCTTATTTAAAAACCACACAAGTATAGAATTTAAAAAAAAGGGGGAAAATAAAATATAAGATATAAAGGCTCACATTCCCGACTTAAGACTACAGTCCAATTATGTTCTTGGCGCCAGATCTCAGGACCATAAGGAAGCACCCATGAAATCTGTTTTGATCAATTTTTTATATTGTTTGTTTGTATGTTGATAAACGCCCCTCCCTTATGGATTCTAAAGTGATTTGAAATTTTCTTATTTATTTAATTACCTTTTTAGGTCACCTGAGTAAACTCAGGTGACCTATTGCTATCTGTTTTCGTCCGTCGTCGTGCGTCGTGTGTCGTGCGTCGTGCGTCCTGTGTCGTGTGTCGTGTATTAACATTTGAACATTTTCAGCTTCTTCTCTGCAACCACTGAACCAATTTCAACTAAATTTGGCACAAAGCATTTATGGGTGAAGGGGAACAAAAATTGTGAATTTCATGATCCCTGCCCCCCTGGGGCCTGAGGAGTGGGGCCAATCCACTTAAATTAATGCAAACATTAAAAATCTTCTTCTTTACTCCTGGACATCAAGCAGTCAAACTTTTTGCATGATTGTAATCAGCAATGAGTCCTCTAACAAATTTGTGAAATTCATGGCCCTGGGGTCAGGGGTTCTAGTGCTAGGGCGGGGCTAAATAAGTATGTAGTGAAAACGCATTATTTCTTTGAAAATCTTCTTCTCTGCTCCTGGGTATTAAATAAACCAACTAAGTACATAGTTATGATGAGCAAGAGTGCCTCTACCAAAATTGTGAATTTTATGGCCCCAGGGTCAGGGGTTCTGGTGTTAGGGCGGGGCTCTATTGATTATATAGTGAAAATACATGAATTCTTTGAAAATCTTCTTCTGTGTTCCTCGGTATTAAATAAACTAACTAAGTACATAGTTATGATGAGCAAAAGTGCCTCTACCAAATGCAAAATTGTGAATTTTATGGCCCCAGGGTCAGGGGTTCTTGTTTTAGGGTGGGGCTCTAATGATTATATAGTGAAATGCATGAATTCTTTGAACATCTTATCCTTTGCTCCTGGTTAATATGCTAATGATCTAATTAAATATTTAAGGCCAGGATTTATTTTATTATCAGTTTTACAAACCCTCCGCTCAAGGTTTTGAATTTTCAGAAAAAATAAAACAATTTTTTTCTTTCCGATGTCAAATTTGAGTCGGGATCGAGATTTCAAATTTACGAACTTGCACTTCCGGTTTTAAGATGAAACGGCGGGTAATAAAGCTAGATCTGAGAAGATAGCTTGGTTTAGTGTAAAATTCATCGATACGAGTGCCATTCAAAACGTTTCACCCGTTCAAAGGACAAATAAAATGCTGACGACTTTGTTGCACAATGACATGCTGGTGAGTAATTATGTATTCGTTTCAAAAGTATCTGTCTGTAAATTATTTTCCTCCCCCAGGTTTTAAACTGCCCGTGGTAGCTATTGCATATTGCCAGCGACATTGTTTAGGTCTCTGTTATAGCTTACAGTCTAAGCATCATTCTTCAGAAAAGGGTTGCTTATGCATCAGATGTAATGAATAAAACTATGGGAGAAGTTAAGTCCATTTGAGGAAGAAATAAACAATAACCTGAAGAAATAAAAAAAAATTCAACTATTAAAAGGCAAGAATATACAAATATATACAGGCATGTAGTATCATTTGTTTCAGCCAGAAAAATTATTTTACACTTAATTGAAAAAATGTTCACCCTACTCACCAATACTCCCTGTCTGTTTTATGATAGGAATTAATATGTTTTACGGTGTGACCGTTAGGGCGAGCGCAGTTATGTACTATCATAAACCTACATGTACTGCCTATCATTCAAGGAAAAGAAAGCAAAAAAGAAGAAAACAAAACAATAAAAAGAAATCACTTCCCAAGCATCGGGATCGAGATTCCGAACTTCTCGGAAGTTTCCGACAAAATCGGAAATACCCGAACCGTTAAAGTGATGAAAGTATGACGTCAGATAAAAAGTCTTGTTGATTTAGGACGCAAACGATAGTTTTGTGGCATGGAGATTGCATTAAATCATTGTTTGTAATTTTTTTCAAGTAAGTTGTTGCTATGTTTTAGCCACCATGTTGCTATGCACCGCAAAAGATTATTGGGAATTTGGAATTTTTTCACGTGGACTCATTAAAATTTCTTGGAACAATAGACGAATTTCACATTCCTGAGAGTTATCTCCCGTTGTCGGCGTAATGCTAATTTTTCCCTCTTTGTCCTTTGCAAGTTACCTGTTGATATTTTTAAAATTCAAACGTTCTATAACAATTTCGATCTGTACCTGTATTGCCAGAGTATGGGGCAACACGAAAAACATAATGGGCATATTCATATAGATTTTATTTCTAGGATACTGACCCATAAAGTTGGTAAGGTTATAGAGGGAAAACAGTGCCTTACGCCGGTTGACCCCGGATTGACCCCGCAAAGGGGAATAACTTTTGTAAATGTGAAAGTCGTCTATGTGCACATTTCAACCTGAATTTTTTCTTTTCGTACACGTTAGTCTATTGAGCTCGCTACGCGAGCGGCGCTTTGCGCGGCCTCGCTGCGCTCGCTATAATTTTAGGCATCAAGTAAATTTTAGAACAATGTCTACACATTCACCTAACACATATTAAAAAAATGAAGAAATATTGAAAGTTTTTTAAAGAATTGATTTTTTAAAATATATTTTGACCAACATCACAAAAATTATATAACTGGCCCAAACTGGCAGATGATGAAATAAGCAATTAAATGTTCTACTTTCCTGTTTGTAAGCATTATGTGTCCAGTGGTAAGGAGCCTACTAGAATAGCATAAAAAAAGAATGTACAAATGTTAATAATTGATTTATCAAAAAAAAAATTTCATTTCCTTCTCCTTCGGAACTTTTTTATTCTCATGTTCATAACTAAACCTAAACATAAAAAAAAATGCTGGCCTTATAATGAAGAAAGGGGCCTCTTTCAAAATTGATAATTTCAGGGCCGTTGGGTCAGGGGTACCAGGGGGGTACTTTGACTAAAAATAAATTAGTGCTTTGAAATCTGCCCTTTGATAAGCAATGGTGCCTCCTTCAAAATTTGTGAGTTTCATGGCTTTTGGATTAAAACACGAACCAAATACAATCGCTGGAAAGTTGTTACATGATACTCAGGTGACCTATAAGGCCCGTGGGCCTCTTGTTGTTTTTTGAGAACCTTCATCTGATCGTAGAATATACTGTAAAACAACAAGTTTGAAGTTACAGCCGTAAAAAAAATTCTATGATGGGTAAGATAGGCACTTGGTAGAGCAATTGCTGGATCGAGCAATATATCTTAATTAGTAAGGATTTTTATGATGCCGTTGAATCCAGAATGGATTGATAAGATCGAAGTAACTTTGATTCAATATCTATTAAGTATTCAATTTCAGTATTCATATCATATATCTATAAATATCAATAGTTGTAAAACATCGATTTCAATACTGGTACTCATTTTTGCGGTTTAATTGTTTGTAATTGCAAACGTGCTTTATTTATATGGCTTAGTTACACAGAATGAAAATACTCAATAAGTTTCTAATTCTGCATTTTTTTCAGTTCAATTCTGGTTTGAAAGTTTGATTTTATGGGTGAGCAGTTCCTTATTGTGCACATGAAATGAAATTAAAATCGATGACCAAGTTGTTTTCCTTAGAGTGTTTTTACAATGTATATTAATGTTCTTGTATTAATAAAAAACGTTGAACTGAGAATAATTTGTTTTGACTTCGTCTGCCGTTGAATGTTTTTTTTACTGAGTTTTATAAGACAAAAATAACACGTTTATAAGGATTTGATTGCTGTCAAACTATAGTGTTCGAATGTAAGCCAGTAACACACTTTTTTTATCACCTTTTTATTCAAAATATTTTAGTTTATTCTTAATAAAAAATTAATCTTATACATGTAGCATTTTCACTGAAGATTCATTCCTGAACTTTTAAACCTCTGTATTTAACCAACAATCATGTTTTCATGTTATCGGTCTCTCTCTCTCTCTCTCGTCCAAGAGATTTCAGAGGTTTTTGTTCTCTGCCAAGGGTATATTTATGAGATCGGATGCCATATGTCTTACAACTTGGGGGGGGGATGAATTTACATTATCATAAATCTGAGGAATACATTCTATTTATCGAAGTTGAAGAAAAAACTTCCATTTTTTTCCAACTATTTGCTATTCGTCCGCAAAATACTTAAACATTGCCAATTATAACTTTTAACTGGCTGGGCTCTGGCTTTTATATTTCAGAGATGTATTCCTTTTGACAAGACCATTACCATCAAATTTATCCTCATGACCTTGCAGTTAACCCCAATTTTATGAAAAATAGCAATTTCTAACTTTGGCCATAAGTTTTGAACTTCTGATTTAGGACTAGGGCTTTCATATTTCACAGGTGTATTTGTTGTGAAAAGACCTACATCTTGTTACCCAAAAAATTGACGTTTTGAACTTGAGCTTTGACTTTAAATTGCATTTGTAAACTTGTACCTTCGCCGTAAGCTGCCATACTGGGAAATCAGAGTTTCGCAAACACATCTTGTTTTTTTTTTTTAGCATTTAGCATTTATTCTTATGTTTCTAATAATAATATCATACAATCATGCCACCTTATAAGGAAATCCACTTGTGACACATTTCAAAGATTGTTGTTTTTTCTTCTGGTATTTACAACACATAAAATGTCATTAGTTTCATGAAATCACTGAGTCTGAATCTAATTTCAGTGCTTCAGAACATTGGACGAAACCAAGAAAAACCTTTGTTACAAAGAGTTAGCACAAAATTTCACTGGAATCGTGGGATATGTGGGAGAGATGATTGGCGCCTTAAATTTCCCGGAAAGTGTGAAGGTATATTTCCCTTAATGTCCCGGAGAAAGTTTATTAGAAGGATTCGGTATGGATAAGCTAAGTTGATAAGTGTCAGTCAGTAATGATTATTGATCTTTAAGATTCATGATATATCCTCCTTAGCAAGAAAAGAAACTGCTTTTTAAGGAAATATGTGGATATAACGAAGAGTTTTCGAGCTCAAAATTCCATTAAACATTACACAATAGGAGCGCAGCAAACACGTACCTCCAAAACATGAAATAACATATTTTTTGTAGCAAGAAAATTAAATCAAACTTATCATTTTATAAAATTTATAGCACAATCTGTTTCATTTTTTCAGATGTATCTGGATATTTCTAATGCCATATTGTCATTAACTGCAGAGAATGGCCGTTATGTAAGTTATTCAATAAATAACACTTCGATGTTGGATTTTAGACCCTAAGTACGCAAAAAGAATAAAATCATTTAATTATGCATCTTTTTTTCTTTGTAGGCAAGTGTTTTTCACATAATGAACATTTCCTCCGTATTAGAAGATGTTGAACGCGATCTGACATCGAGTTCCTTCTTTAACAATGTATATATTGAAGAAAGAGAAAACATAGGTATACATACGAAAATATGTTCCCTTAATTACGACCCACACTGGCCATAGTTTTAGGTTGCTAGGATTTAATTACGATAAATTCAAATTATCCAAGGAGTCATTACCTCTTTTTTTATTTTGTTGATCAGTGTTCAACACTCATATATACCATCTTATCAAATTTCAGTTTTAATAACTTTTATCAGGAGGAATATATTTACTATAAAGATAAATAATTAAAACAAATATGACACTTTCGAAGTAGGAAAAATATTTTGTTATTTGAAGTAAAATTGAAACTTAATATAAATGACAAATTAACTTGGACGCTTTTAGAATGAATAAATAATTTAAGACAATTTCGCGCAATATTGCCAAATTAACATTTTGGTCGTTATTCCAGAGTTGCGAATAAAAACGCATGCCTGGAAGATGGGTTCCAATAGCAGACGTAGTGGGAACAAGACAATTCAATTGTTTTCAAAAGGTCATAAAGGCAATACTGATGATTTTGAAAACATCTTGATTAATGGTTCCCATGAAGGTATACAATGTATATTTATAAAATCGGAAAGATGAATCAAGTATTAAACATTTATTATTCAACGTTTGCTGGGAAATAACATGAAAGATAAAAATTGACTATCGATTTTTATGTATAACAATTATTGATTAATATACTTAATTTTAATTTCATCATTGAAATTAACAGCTTATCATGCTGAGCTCTTTTGAATTTTACAAATGAATTTTAGACAAACCTGGTAAAGAAATTGTTAGAAATATTTGTGTAGATCTTATATTCCTTATATTTTATACAGACAACATAACGATAATTGTGATCATTATCGACAATTATCTAACAGACAACAGGACAATGGGGTAATTATAAACATACCTCTTGCATTGAATGTTGTTTACAACATCAGCTGATAGGTTTCAAAGTTATAATTATAGAATGCTCTTTGAGAAGAAAACAACACTTGTTACAAGATAATCATTTATATAATAAAATTTAGTACAGTGTTTAAAGTATTCTGAAAAAAAAAATGGTTTACTAGTATTTCATTAAAAGTAAAATTTGTTCAGTCATATATGATAAGGGGCTATGATTATTCATTCAATATTTTCCCTAGGACTATTACAGATGACGTGATAAGAATAAGCCCCGTGTTGTCCCTGTCAGCTTTCAAGGAGGGGGATTATATCAGTCTACATCATACATTTACACTACAACATTACACTTCGATCATTAAGGTGAATGCGGAAAAAATTATTAAATTTATATGTAAAATATTCGTTTTTGATGAAGATATATATCTTTTTTGCATAAACTCCAGCCAACTCTAAAAATAAATTTAATGTTATTGAAAATTCTATTTTTTATGGATGTCTTCTTAAAATAGCAATAGTTAAAGTAAAACATACGGAGATAACGAACAGTTTTCAAGATCAAAATTCCATAAAACATTTCAAAATAGGAGCAGGAAAAACACGGACCTGCAAAACATCGGAGGTGGGATCAGGTGCCATGGGGGAGTGAGCATCCCCTGCTGACCGGTCACAGCCGTCATGTGCTCCGTGTCATGATCGGGAAATAACGGAAAATTCCGTCTTCAATTCAGTGTATAAATAATAAGCTAACAATGAGTATGAAAAACGTCAGTCAGCATTTAACTCAATGATAAATTGAACAATTTTATGCAGGATGGTTTCCTGGAAAATGGTACTGTAAAATGTGGCTTTATAGACAAGCAAACAAGGTGTGTTATTTAATTTATTATTAATCATTAGTAAACAAGCAAATAAGCTGAGTTCATTAAATTGTGCATATCATTTTTGAAAGATTAACGTACATGTTTTTTTTTGTTCAATCATCCAGTACCTGCATTAATGAAAACATAAATTATTTATAATTACTTAAAGTTTGTAACAACAGGTCATGGTCTTACGACGGATGTGTGGTATTGGTCTCAACTTCATGGAATACAACATGCTTTTGTAACCATACAACTAACTTTGCAATACTTATGCAGATTAAGGATTTCAAGGTAAAAATAGAGAGAGATTTTAGTATTATAAACATTTAAGATCTCCTGATTATCTCATATGACCTTTCCCTATCTGTTTTTTTCAGTCGTCATTGTGGAAAATTTTAACTTTTAGCTTTATCTTGATACAACTGCTGCAGTATTTTTCACCTATTTTCATCGGTATCTATGACGGAATAGGAAAAAAAATTAAAATTTAGAAATTTTCTGGTTGCTACTCCCCTTGGACGTGAAGGCTGTGTCCAAAACCATAAAATATTAAAATGAAAAACATGATTAAATAAAAAATAATGATTAAATAATAAACTGTATAAAAATGCGTAAATGAAAAACTTTCTGATAAAAAGATGTATATAATAAATTAGTACTTTAAATGTCCATCAACGTCAAGTGAACTGTAATTATAAAATAAATTAAAATTCAATAAAAGTGCCGTTCTCTGTACTTTTAAATAAATGTTATTAACACCAGGAGAAACCGACGGACGGAAATAACAATGTATACCCTGCTTTTCAAGCGGGGGGTATAATAAAAGTGCCGTTCTGTGTACTTCAAAATAAATGTCAGTAACACCAGGAGAAACCGACGAGCAATGTATTGGTACAGGCCTGTTCTTTTTATTGTCCACACCTTGATTGTTTCCGCATAGAATTGGCTTCAGCATCAAAACATATATTGTATTTATTATAAAAAATTAAAATGATAAATCGCCATGATAGTTTAGAACATTTTTTCTTCTAAATCTTAATTAGGTTGAAAGAAACCATGCTTTGGCCCTCAACATAATTACATATATCGGATGTACTGTTTCACTGATCACTCAAGTAATCGCCATCACTGTGTTTTCGTGTGTTGGGTGAGTAGCTAACAAATACATGTATCTATGAAAAAAAATTGAATTGTATTTAGATTAATTTTAGTCAAGTTATATTTGCAGGTCCTTGAATTCAGAAAGAATTTGTGTACACAAAAATCTGTGCTATGCTATTACTGCAGCACAATTAGTATTTTTGGTGGGTATCAGAGCAGTTCAAATTAAGGTGAGGCACACTTGTACTTTTAGAAATGATATTGTCTTTCTCTTCTTTTGGGACTCTCTTTCTTTCTCTCTCTCTCTCTCTCATATAAGATGCTCAAGGACCATCTGTTTTTTCATAACGAAGTAATTCCTGATGAAATTTCAATTCAAATTCTCATTAAGTGTTAGTTCTCAACATAAAATATAATAATAATATTGAAGAATTTTCCATTTTCTTTACAGATAATTTGTTCTATTATTGCGCTTTTATTGCACTACTTTTACTCCGCTGTATTTGTATGGATGTTGGTGGAAGGAATGCTTCTGTATAGTAAAGTGGTTCAAGTATTCGGATCGGAAAAGTCACGGATAGTATATTACTACGCCTTTGGTTGGGGTGAACAAACTTTGTTGCATGTACCTTCAAGCTTAATTATCTATCTTTCATTTATTTCGGATTTAATGTCGATTATAATGTATAGTTCATCCACATTTATTTAAATCAAAAGCTGAACTTTGAGGTTTGAGGGGGGGGAAGTACTACAGTATAAATGTGTAACTTTTTATCATTTATGTTAAAGTCTTCCTCAAGTCTTCCTAAGATTAGCAATGTTATAAGTCATTATTTATTTCTAACATTGTCTTATTTTTCATCTTTTTAGGACTTCCTTTGATAATTCTCATCATATCAGCCACAGCGAATTGGAAAGGATATGGAACAGACCGAAGGTAAACTAGTTTGATGATCATTTTGTACTGACGTTATACTATGATTATGATTCTAAAATATCTTCTCTAAGAAAAAGGTATCTAAGTTTTGCTATTCACTTTGCATTAATAACCAAGTATTTCATACATAATTATAAAAAGTAATTTCAATAATTATTTCAATATGAAATTATGTGTACAACAAAAAGTGCTTTCATTCCTTCTGATAGCCAGGAATACATAATTAATGATTGAATCTAAGTGAACATCCCCCCCCCAAAAAAAATACTTTGTACATTTAATATCATCAAAAGACCAATTGTTGTGCTAAGTTAGATTAAAAAAAATTATTGGTTTATACAGGTATGTTTCTGATTCGTTTCAAGTTACACGTTTATTTTGTTTTTGATTTTAATTTATTTTGTAATGTTATGTACACTGCAGTTAACCAATTTAAAGATTGTATTACATTCAGGTGATCATTCAGGCCGTTGGGCCTCTTGTTGATTACACGGGTTGAAGGACTCCAAATTGCATTTCAACAAATTATTCCCTTTAGGTCCATGTAATATAAAACTTTAAATTAAACATGCAACGTTATTTGAATTGATACATGAGGTGATTAATTGTTGAATGTTGGGTGAATATTTGGACATGAATATTCATAGTGTGATTAATGTTTATGAATAATTCAGTTGCTGGTTGTCAATGTCAGATGGAACCGTTTGGGCTTTTGTTGGTCCAGCTGTGTCAATCATTCTTGTAAGTCAATATTATTTTATAAAAGATTAATCACCCTTAACCAGTGAAATTATAAAAGAAACAACATGAACAAGGTAAATATATAATGTCGATTTCACACTTTCATAATCTATCGCATGTTTTATTCATTTGCAAACACATGTATAACAAATAATAATAATAATATGTCTTATCGACATCAGAAATATTTTTTTTAATCTAAAATAAAAAGAACAACAACAACAATAGAAAAAGAGCATGTAAGTGGCAGTGCTTGAATAGGGACTTTTTTTTAAAATTAACATCTATCAAATGTCGATTTCAGACATAATCTATCACATATATTACTCATTTATTTGTAAACAGATGTTTAAATTGTATGTATACTAAAAAATTATTTCTTTAGGTAAATATGGTCATTTTATGGATTGTTATCCGCATCATTATTCATCTAGAGAGATCTGATGAATATAAGCAGATCAGGTAATATATCTTATAACTCTGGGAATCACAACCCTCCAGCGATTACATATCCAAAAGAGTTTTAGCAAATGGTAGAGATACTAAATTTAAATAAAACTTCTCAGTAATGAAAATAACCAAATGCTTTGCATCAAAATCCTTTCAATACGCTTTCGGTTGTATAGTAAACTTAAAGTTTGTGTGTATTTTTTAAATCATATATTATCATAGTTATTTAGTTCCTTTTTGACTTTCAGGTCAAGTGTCAAAGGGGCCATTTTTCTGCTTCCTCTGTTGGGTTTGACCTGGATATTTGGCCTCATGGCTGTAAATAAAGATACAATCATATTTCAATATCTCTTTGCTGTCTTTAATTCGCTACAGGTAAGTATACATCTGATTTGTATATTATACACTTGGCTGTGATGCATTCTTCAACCTGAAGGCTAACACAAAAGTATGTTATCATTTCATTCTGGTAAAATGCAAAAAATCTTTTGTTTTCAAAGTAAAATTAGATCAGAAAGCTTGTAAGAAGTCTTCTTACTTGAGTTTTATGTAAACAATTTAATATATCTTTCTTTTTCTGTAGGGTTTCTTCGTATTCTTATTCCACTGTGTTTGTAACTCTGAGGTATTTTTTTACTTTCAATATCATGAATATATTTATATAATTGAATTAAAAAACAATCCAAAGTTAACACTTCGATAGAAATAATTATTTAGTTACTTTTTAAACTGTGTCCTTGCAAAATCTTTACCAATTTTGAATCATGGAAAATATTTTTGTACGAAAAAGCTTGTTCATATGTTATGCCAGTAAAAACTTTTTTCTGTGTAAACTATTTGGTCCATTTTTAGTTAATGATAAACTGACAAATTCACAAAACGAAACAGTTTCTAAGACCCGAAAACTGGCTAAAATTATTTAATCGTTGAAATACCTACCATGCAACCTTGACGATTTCTTCCCTTTCAAATACAACAGTATACTCTACATCATAAAGATGTTTCTTTTTTTTCGTTAGAATATATCTAGAAAATTTTCACTTCGTATACAATGTAATTGAATGAAGGAGATACATAATTATCATTTTCTTTGAACGTGCTTTGTTTAGGTAAGGCAGGCTCTTCAGAGATTAAGAGAGAAGCGCATTTTGTCGAGAGGAGAATTTATCACTAGTTCGGACATACCAACTCAGACTGTAAGTTGAAGCATATATCACTTCCACTTCTATTTGGGGTAGAAATTTCGACTTACAGAATCTGTCTGTGAACAGTGCAGAAATAGCGTGCTAGACCGCTCGACCACCTAGGGAAGTCAAAAACAACAAAAAAAAATTGCTTTCAAAACCAACGGTTTTCTCACAGCTCTGCCCTTTACTTCACGGTTATTGAGAATGAAAGTGATGTACAGGTCTATTGAAGGATTGTTATCGATATAAATTGCAATGAATTAAACAGAATTAAACGTGATATTTTGTAATTTCTATGGTCGATTCACTTACCTTGTTAAATACAGTTTATCTTTAAGTCGTATGTTGACTAATGTCTTTGTACAAAATGTCAGGTCATCATTTTCACACTGAATTGTGTGCAAATTAATATATAACTATATCAGGACAAGGTTTGATATAATGTTTATACCATGAGAATTACGGCAACAAAGGTAATATGAGGCTATAAATAATTTAGAGTTCTTATCAGTCAGATTTATTAAATATTCAATTAAATATAGGAAAAAAAAATATAAATATGACAGAGGAAATTCGGACTGTAATAATTATCACGTTTATGGCCCAAACTCTACTCATTTCTTTATATGGTGCAACTCTGTTCCATTGCTTTAATATTTCATAATTTAAAGACTTTTGTTGCTTGTAATATTTAGTGAGTTGGTCAACCTGTAATGGTTTTAGTTCTCTTTCATTGTTTATTTGAAATTAAAATTTAACACAAGAATCAATTTGTGTTGTTACAGAGGACTTTTGAGCTTAATAACTAATCACTCATTTTATTATTAGTATTTAATTATCAAATGATTTATATATATTTGATTTTTCTTGGCATTTAGTTATAATACTCCAGATGTGAAATGTGAAAATAACAAACAGCGGTCAATTTCATAAATCTGTTTAACAAATAAAATCCTGAATAAGTCAAAAACAGGAACCTTTGAAACATTGGAGATGGGATTAGGTGCCTAGAAGGTCTGTCAGTCCTATGGATTTTTTCAGGTACATGTATACCTATCTTGTTTAACATTTTGAGGCAAGGAAGTGGCTCCTTTGAGCGTTTTATATTCTTTTTCTAAAAAACGATCTAAGGAGACTTGTGTTCATATTTTGTTTTGTATGATTCCAAATCATATTTTTAAGACTAGTATCGACCAATTATTCCTTGTCAGAAATTTTCGCCAAAAATATCTGAAAATTCAATAGTACAAAAATGCTACAAACACAATTCTTATTTTTGATTTGCCAGGATGCAGCCGTTTCTCCTTCAAACGAAGAAAATATTCTAAGACGAAAATCGAGATCAGTCAAACCTTACAAAACGTGTCCGCATGTTCAAGTGACGTCATTAACGCACGTGAATAGCAAAGAAGATATTGAAACAAAAGGTAAGTTTAAAGTATACAGCTACTGGCTACCGCTTAATATAATAAAGTGATTGAATTTAACATGGACCCATTTATCTACTCTTTTTGATGCTACTACAGATCTAATGAATATTTTTTTTATGAACATTCCAATCGTCAGATACGTAATTAAGACAATGAATCGAGAAAATGCTTAAAAGATTTCATTTTTGAAAATTAAATCTAAAGGCTTGTACTATATGAAAAATATGAAAAGTACTTTACACAATTTGAACATTTCATTAGAGAGACTATTTAATTTGTAATTCTAATGCAATTATTTTGCAAAACACCTTTTGATTGGCTAATGCTGATGTTTGAAATAAAATGATATAATTTTCATCCTAAAAGTTTATATGTTTTTTGTAAACAGCAAACAAAATTCCACTTCTTCTAATTTGGTATTTGCGACCGTTAATGCTGATTTAACGGTCGCGAACATCCGTTTTACCGGCTCCGCTTACGCGTCAGCATTAACGGTCGCAAATACCAAATTAGAAGATAGTTATTCCCTAAATACTATGATAGAATTATACACATTTTACATCATACAATTTATAATGAAATTCCCTTTAAGAACATTGACTTTTAAAACTTAATACAATGAATTTAGAGAATATGCACCTTTAATATAAAAAAGTAATAATGTAAGGGTTATGTCTCGTACTGAATCTCGATAATTTTAAGTTTTATTGCAAGAAAAATGTAACTTTAATTTGTGTGAAAAACCATGTGAGTTTTAAAAGTGCGTTGAGCTGTAATTACTGTAAATGAAATGATATAATTTATCCTAAAAGTTTATATGTTTTTTGGTTTAAGATAAATTCCACTTAGAAAACCTCTTAAGCTTGATACCTAACTGATAAAAATCATACATTTAACAAATGAGGCGATATAGGCAAGGGAAAAACCCAATATGCTTGATGCCTCTAAAAAATAATATTTTGCTATATATGCCAAGCATCACTTTTTGTCTCATATAGCATTTCCACTTAAAGCAAGAGGTCCAGGGGGACATATCACTCACCTTAGCACTGTAGATAGGGAAAAAAGAGTAAAAAATCAGTTTAATATTGAAAAGCTGAAATGCATAAGTGGTCCCTACCTACCCCTATAAGGGTGAGTGGGGAATGATTTGAATAAAATTGAATCCACATTAACTAAAGATGCTTACATGTTTTTTTGACTAACCTTAATTGTGACTTTTGGCCTTCAAATTTGGCAATACTGGTGAGCCAAAATCAAGCATCTACAAGTAGCTTAAAGCAAAAAATATATTAGTTTGGCAATACTGATAAGCCAAATATATAACTGAGCAATAAGCTTTAAGCTTTATCTGTAAGGTTGCGATTCCAGTCGTGAAACTTGAGGTATTCTTTAACTGGGAAAATACATTACTGCGTTTCTGAGAAAGATAATCTGAAAACAAGAGAAAGAAATACATGTACATGTTCACATTGTAGTACATGTATTTTTAGTTACACAAGTGAATTAAGGCTAGGTATGGGCATGTCTATTCTATGCAAATGAGCTAATAAATATGCATATGATTTATGTTTCATATTCAGAGAAAATTCAAAATTATTTTTTTATTCATACTTTGTACCCACAGCATGTTAAAGCTTGTATACATTATGACGTCATGTAATGAGGTCATCATTCTCTTTCATTCAAGGTAATAAAATAACGTCGGTGCAAGGACATGTCATATTTAATTTTATTTAATTTTTATTAGATAGTGTATACATTTGTAATTAATTTATAATTTCACATTTTAATAAAATTAAAACTTTAATATATGCACTATCGACATTTGTGCAGCAATATCTTAAATTTTTGGAATACATGTATTTTGTGTCTATCTATACCTTGTTTTTGTAGAACAAAATATGCCCTTGCGCTGAAGTGATTTATTTCATGTTCCATGATCAATTATGTCATAATATGACGTCATAATGTGCACTGACTATCGCATGTCGGGGTTACCAAAATGTATTAGACAAGTTGCTGTCCTTTAAAAAAGGACTGCAATACGTGGACCATATGCATGTGTTTCAAATTCAATTAAAAAATTTCTTTAGTTAATATTCATGTATAGGTTTGTTAACATTTTCTACAATGATCTGGACTGTAGTCTCAACTTAAATTTTTACTTTATTTAGTTTTGTCAGTTTAAGGAGAGATGATACAAACAAAAAATGGATGTCTGGAACCAAATTGCAAATGATGCAAATAATAAATTTCTAGAATATAAAGAAATTGTAAACCTTCTGTGTGCAGCAATATGTTACACTTCAAATTCTATTTCTTGACCCATGTTGTTATTTTCAAAATTTCTGATTTGTTTGTAACATCTGTCCTTAAAAAATTTATAACTTGTTTTTGTACACTTGAACAAAGCAAAGCTCTGTAGCAGATTTTTTTTTCCCTTGCGCTACTGACCTCTATCAAACGGTATTCGGAGTGATTTATTTTGTGAGCATGTAATTATTAATGCCATGGCTTAAAAGCGATTATGACTTTTTGTATTCAAGTTGTTAAGTTACATGTATCTATATACTGCAAGTTCTTCCTACTTTTTAAAATGCTTGTGCCTTAGAACCAATGTTTAGTTTTTATATAAACCTGTATGTATAAAAGAGAAATTCGGATCCGCCAATGAATATATAAATACGATATGCGGATTTACCCAATGAATGTATTCTAATTCGAAAACAGGTTTCAATTTTTAGCCTTTCTGGCATCCGGTTTAACCTCGCTTATATATTTACTGCGTGGACCTCAGGGTCCACGCAAAAACAGATTTCAATTTTTTTTTCTCTGGGATAGTTATAGCCCTTTCGAGTTTTAATTATATTTTTTGCATAGAAATATCTACACGTAGCCTTTACTCACTTACGTATATAATAAGGGTAGGAGAGTTTAATATTTTGCAGAAAAAAAATGATGTACATTGACATTACCAGTGTTTCTTTGGTTTTATTTGGATAATATACCCAAATCCTGAAAATGCAACTAATCTTATTCCGTAGTAGTGTCAAAAGGATGAATAAAAATTCCCAAATATTAAGAAATAATTCTTATACCACTTTGATAAATAGATTAAACGTTAAGTGGTCTAAACACAATATTATGCAAGATTCATTTATCTTTGATTTAATTCCTCGCGCTGAACACTTTATTTTTATAGGCTTTTACAATGCAATATTATGAAAGCATACATTAAATACCCGAATGAAATATCATTTACGAGATAGGTTTCATATTTTTATTACCAAAAGCTATGTAGTAGATGTATATATTTTTATTATTTTATTTAATTATCTTTTTTATTGTAAAAGAATATCTGTATTCCGATTTTGACTTGTTTTCGGATGCAAAATCTATTTCAAATTAATAGTTAATGCGATAGATTTGATGAAAAGTACAAACATGGATTACATAATGATTAGGACGATTTGCAAGACAGATGGCCAAATTATAAATAATGTATAAAAGAATTGATAAAGAGAAAACTGATCGGGTGTATACTACTTAAAACTCCTCGTCAAATAAAGGGTCAAATATCTATTGAGAACATTACATTTATGCTGATAAAAGCGTTGTCTGCCAGTAGTACTACGGGGAACAATAATTTGTGGAAAAAACCTTAACTTTGAAGTATTAAATAGAGACAAGATGCTATTTTACACTCTTTATATATATTGCCTAAGTGCTGGTAAATGCGGATAGTTTCTGATCGTACTTATATGTTTACAAAATAAAAGTTGAAAATACTTCTGAGGATACCAATATTTTAACTGATATACATAATTGTTTGAAAGTATTTTTCAGCCGTTTTTTCATTGTCAGTCTTGATTTCTAAAGCATTAAGTGATTTTTAAAAAAAATGAGTGGTAAATATTAAAAATGAATCTCTCTTTTCGTACGACTAATTGATTGAATGTTGGTTTACATCCCAAATGAGAATTTTCATTCATATAAACCATTTGCCGACGAACGATCCCAAATATAGAGTTTTGCATGACAATAATGGTCATTAATTAGCCAAGGATCCTTACCATGCTTATGTCTACCCTGAAAAGGGACCTTTCTTAAGCAACTTCTTATGCTAGTAACTTCAAAATACCTAGCTTGGCAGGGGGCAGTTGCTTCCTGGTTTTGTTGACAACGATCTGTCGGACCGGGGCTCGATTTCATTGCCGATAACGGAGAGAATCATTTTATTCACTCAGTTTTGTATCGATAATCACGACCTTTTAAAAAAAACTTTAATTGTTGCGCATGCTCCATATTTTGAAGCTTCCATAAACTTGTCTAAAATTCTAATTAGAAGAATCTGCTATCAATATCATAGACATTGCATATTTGTAGAGTAGATCGCATCCTATTTTAATCCTCTTTATTTTAAAAGTTTTTAAAGAAATTAAAGAGAATTAAGGAAAGGAAGTCATTTTAATTTAATTATTTTTTTATTCTTGAGATAAGTTTTTACAAACATGTTTTAGCAATCTAAGAATATCCTATCGTTAACATACATATAGTTCATTTTCATACTAGTAATCTTGCGAGAAAGTCTTTATGTTAAGCACAAGATAAGACTTAACAATTTCATATCAAACAAAATGTTCGTAATCAATCTGTTCACTGGAAAATTATGTATTTTCGAGGGTTCAAATTAGTTCACCTAACAGATCGAGACTTAATTTTTCTGTCTTGCAGATGACATGAAACTCGAAGACGTTGACCGTGAAAACGAGCTCGTTTTCATCTGAGGGAAGCCGAAAGACCTCACTTAACTGTGGAAAACATGATGATCTCAGTTTGGAATCTAAAAATCAGTGTCAATGTACGATTATTACTATCATGTGTAATATATATGATATATTTATTGTCCTTACAGATAAGATGGATTTTTTTTGTATTTGAAATGGGCGTTCTCAGTTTGGGATCTAAAATTAGTTTCAGACCTGACGATTAGGCGAAGTTTGCATGTATATTTTAATATTCTTATATCATAAGAGATGTGGATTAGACAGGAAATTTAAGTTTTTATATAACTTCTGCAGAATAGCATTATTTAGTTCAGAATAAAAGCCAACGTACTATTTTAGATTTTAATTAAATGTGTTTAGTGTTTTGCAATTTTGAGATGAAACTTAATGAAAATATTGTCAATTGTTTTCAATATATAATTGTAGAGATATCAGCAAAATATTGCGGAAAGGAAAATTGATGATTCCTTTCATAGATGTAATGTAAAACATAACTTATATGAATATAAAATCTTTTCGTTGTGTAAATAATAAAGAGAAATAAAAGAAAATATCAATATTGTGAAATGCAGTGCTGTGTCGTATATATTTTGCTACAGTGTATATTATTAGTTACACAGTCAGTTAGTCAGGGTGTGAAATGGAAATCCGTATTGGGCGAGGCGGAGCCGAGTCCCAATCCGGATTTCCATTTCACACCATGTATGAATCCGTATTAGGTCACTAAAGACTGTGTAACGAATTTATCCCGCTGAAGATTTTTCATATCAAAAAATATTTACATATATTTATAGGTCACTAACTGACTGTGTTACGAATTTATCCAGCTGAAGGCCCTTTTTGAATAAAAAAAAAATATTATAGGATTAAACGTTCTTTTTGAAAAATTTATCGATGTGTAATCTCTTGACATTTTACTCACAAACTAAATAAAAGTGCGAAGCACTTTTATGTTAAGTTTGTGAGTAAAATGTCAAGAGTTTACACATCGATAAATTTTTCAAAAAGAACCTTTGAAATTTGTTATAATTCCAATATCGAATGTTTAAAAATATTTAAATTATTTCTCTTTAGAGGCCTCCATACAA